CAACATTTCTGTGGGGCATGTTATGAGAACGGTAAATAGGCCTGTGTGACTAGGGTAAAGGGTTTGTGGAGGATTTTAGTGGAAAATGAGGTTGAAGGGTAGAACTGGGGCCAAGTAATGGAAATCTTTGAATGCCATCCTAAGGAGCTGGAACATCTTTCTGAAGGCAATGGAAAACTCTGGCTATTTTTTAAAAGTTCATGTTGAATCATATAATCTCTAGAGAAATATATGGAAAGGAGAGGAACCAGAAGCAGGCAGGCCAATCAGGAAGTTATTTCAATAAACAGGATAGGAAATAATGAAGATTCAAATCAAGGTATCATGTAAGAGTGAAGGGTACAAAGAAAGACATAGATAGTTGGTCTGTTGAGGACGAGAATCCACAAGAATTGGTGGCAAGTCTGATATGGTGGGCGAGGAAAAACAACCGAGAGTCAAGTAGAGATTTGTAGCCCCAGAGTATTATATTCATGAGATTCAGCAACTGATTAGACTTGGAAATCAACAATTGGATCCAAAATCTAAAAATCATTCCAGAAAAATATGTCAACTTTGTTCCCCACAGTAATTTCTCAGAAATCCTGCTTCTGCATATATTAGACAAAGGCAAGTCATATGTGAATCATAGTTCCACTACTGGGAAAAAAGTGAAAATGTTAACCTTGGAAAAAGTATTCATTGAATGGTAGGACCATAGCATCTCTACCTCAGATTTACTCCCAAGTGGCTAGGTCACCTATTGAGAAGCTCAGACTACTGCATTAGCTCCATAACAATAACTATATAAAATATGCTTGATGAATGCATCAAATCTAACCTGCCAAAACCCAAAGCTTGAATGGGTTAATTTATTTATGGATACATCTCAAGTGATCTATAGAGTTATATATCACTACTTATGCTGGAAATCCCAGTGATAATTGTGGTATTCTAAATTCTAAAGCTGTCCCCTCAAGATTACTGTTCCTTGGCTATTCAATCAAACATTAATCTAGGTACTAACGAGATCAGACTTTGCAGATGGAATTAGGTTACTAATCAGCTGACCTCAAAATAGCGAGATTATCCTGGATTATCCATATGAGCCCAAAGTAATCACATGAGCCCTTAAAAACAGAGGAAGAAAAAGAAGTCAAAAGAGACACTGCAGGATGGGAAGTCAGACTGCAAATGTGAGAAATATTTGACATGCTGCAAAAAGTCTGAGATGTAGGGGTTCACAGGCAAGATTAGAGAAGCCTCCAGGAGCTAAGGATGGCTGTCAGCTAACAGCCATCAAGGAAATGGGGACCTCTTTCCTGTAGCCACAAGAAATTGGATTCTGCCCACAAGAATGAGCTTGGAAGTGGATTCTTCCCAGAGCCTTTTCATAAGAGCTCAACCAGCTGACACCTTGATTTCATCCTTGTGGAACCTGGAGCAGAGAAACAAGCCAAGCCAACCTAGACTTCTGAGCTACAGAACTATGAAATAATAAATTTGCATTGTTTTAAACTGCTAAATTGTGGTAATTTATTATGGTGGCAAATAGAAAACTACTATGATAATTAAACATATGCATGTGTTTGTTCTAATACTCAAATCAGGAAATGACTTGCACAGGTTATAAAAGGATAAATAAGGAAAATTCAGAAATGCAGTAGGGCAGAGGTAGGCACACTTTCGCCTGTGGACCAAATTTGCCCCACCCTCTATTTTGTATGGCCCAAGCTAGAAATGGTTTTTACATTTTAAATGGTTGAAAAAATCAAAATAAGATATTTTATGATATGTGAAAATTGTATGAAATTTAAAATGCAGGGCCTATAAATAAAAGTTTTATTGGAAGATAGACATGCTCAATTATTTATGTATTGTCTCTGGCTGCTTTTGTGCTACAACTGCAAAGTTCAGTAGTTGTAGCAGTAGACCATATGGCCCCCAAGGCCTAAAATATTTATTCTCTTGTGTTTTATTAAAAAAGAGAAGTTTGTAAACTTCTATAAGAGGGCAAAGAGTTTACACAAAAAGAAACAAGAACAAGAGGAATAGTATAGTTCACTGATTAAAAATCACCTGTTAGTGGCATGCCAAGGTGTTAACTCTCTTTTTTTTTTTTTTTGTACGTTCTTGGAATATAGGATGGGATAGATAGCATACTGACAGCAGTTTCAGGTGTTACAGGGGAAAGTGGACACATGCAGTCTACATTCCCTAGGAAATGTGCCTCCATATCACCTTTACCACATATACCTAAAGCTGCCAACACCTAACACAAATAACATCTTCCCAGAATTGTTAGTCCTTACCTCTTGCTATCCTTGTGAGAACAATAACTATAAATCTTGTATTTGCTCAACTCAGATGTGCACTTGAGTCATTTGTCATTTCAGAGCTTTGAAACCACAGAACAGTCTCTTGAGATTATGCTTTTGTCACCTTCTGAGGTTCTGGAAGCAGATGGAAGGCTCGGTAGAACAGGAAACTAATAGTGAGTGCATACCAGGCACCAAGTAATGTGCTAGGTACTCTCTAATCCTCACTATAAGCCATGAAGCAGCTATTATTATCCTTAGCATACAGAGAAGGAAACTGAAGATCACATGGGTTAAACAGCTTGCCCAAAGTTATGCAATTATTATGGCAGAGACAAAATTTACGTTGAAAGGCCAGATGCTTTATATTTGGCAAAATTGTCAGAAGAGACCTCACATACGTCAGACATAACAAGGCTTTGAGAAGGGGTGAAAGCCTATAGAAGCCAAGGAATAATACACAGCATTTTATATAATTGGCTGTAATTGTGTGTGTGTGTGTGTGTGTGTGTGTGTGTGTGTGTGTATGTGTTGGGGGCACAGTTATAAGAATAAAGGAGGGGTGAAAGAGGAAAGAAAATAAACATGACATCTACTTTAAAATTTATATCCCTTTCTGCCACATTAATCCAGAGTTTGAAAAACATGGGCTTGAAATAGACTTGTTTGTTTCTAAATCATACTGTGAAGAATGAGTTGACTGAAATTACAGTGGGGTACATTCATTTGTGAATAATGATTAGTGACTATTCAAAATTTGTAAGGCTCTGATTTTCATTAAACATTAAACTCTGGGGACTTCAAACCTTCACTTGGAAGCTTATATAAATGTGAAGTCAAGTGTAAGTTCACTTTAAATTTATAGGAAAAAGTAGGCTATCTTACCCTAAAAAGTGACTAAAAATTCATTTTACTCCTTTATCTTCTGTTAACTATTGGAGACACTGAGATAAGATATGCTTATTAGATATGCTGAGATAAGATATTAGTTCCCTTCTATTATTCATCAGGAAACTAATTAAAATTATTTATATAAATTTATTCCTTATACAGCCAATATTATTGTGTTCCTACTATGTGTCAGGCTCTGTGCTAGGGCTAAGAATACAGAGCTGAAGAAGACAAACGAGGACCCT